GCCAAAAATTACACTTGGCCTTGAAAGTCCTTGAATGTTTTTTGGGTATTGAAATTCTCTGTTCACACAACTGATTTTCATCATCTTTACAAAAAATAAATTATAAAATTAAAAAAAAAATGTACATTGGATAACTATGTACACAACAATTTGGATAACTCAGGATTATGGTAAACTGACATCACTGTTTAACGCAACAACTTCTATGTTGTTCAGTTTTTCCATAAATTTACATGATATTAAACCTGTTTACTGGTAACATTCTGTGGTAGCAGTAGGTAATTGCCGTTGCGCGTGGTTCTTTAATTTGAGGAAATTGGTACTGGAAAGTCCTTGAAAGTTCCTTGAATTTGATGTTGATCAAGGTATGGGAACCCTGGAGAAGAAACTTAACCCTGGTGGCTTCCAGTGTTAATGACATGACAAGAAGATCCCACCTAAGATATTTTCTACATGGCACAGTGGAGGGGTCTTTTCCTTCAATGGAGCTTCAGGTTGTGCAGAGGCATCAAACAGCAGCTGGTTATGTGGAGATGTTGCAGGGGGTATCCCTCATAACTGATAACCATCAGCTGTATGGTAATGACACACTTCTTCCAGAGAATAACTGACAAATAATAATTATTAATCTTCAATCTAATTGAGAACATTTGGGGTTGGATGGCAAGGAAAGTTTACAGAAATGGACACCAGTTCCAGAGAGTGGATGTCCTCCATGAAGCCATCTTTATTACTTGGAACAACACTCCCTCTAGCCTCCTGGAAAGACTAGCATCAAGCATGTCGAAACATAGTTTTTGAGGTGATGAACAAGAACGACTTGGCTTCTCATTACTGAAGCCTTTGTTTTTTTTTTCTTTTGTTTTTGTTTTGTATTTTGAATTTCTGTTTGGTTGATTTTATTTTTATTTTTAATTTTTTGAGATATGGTCTTAAACTTTTGATAAGCTGAAGAACATCCTATTTCTGTTTATTATTTGTTTGTAATAAAATGCTTAATCACATTTTTTGGTAGAACTTTCTCATGACCCAACAGCGCAAAATGTGAATTGTTGCCATTTTTCAACTGGTTCTACAGTTTTGATCAGTTGTGTATTTGTACTGACCAACACATTTTTCATAGAATCCCAGTACAACCTGTAAATGTGTGACATCACCCATCAGCAGTTCTCTCTTCTTATTCTTCTCATCTCCAGGAATTCTTTCTCTCAAATTTCCCGAGGCTCCGACAGTCAAAGCAACATGCTTGTATTTTGTAAGTACACACTTAAAACTTAAACCTTGCCATCATGCTTTTTAAAGTTGTCTTCAAATTTGACGACTCTGTGTGTTTGTGCTGTAGACGGAGYTGTTGCCCCACTGCTCAGACATGCCTCTGTTAGCCAGGGTGGTGCAGGAAGATGGCAAGCTGTTGGTACAAGCTGTGCTGGAGGTACATTTTCAATAATTCATCTGTATTTTCAGACCCAGTTATCTGCTTTGTCTCAAGCTGTTTAAAATGCAGGACATGTAGCACTCCATCAGTCTGGACATGACTACATTAATCTTTAGTTACTTTTAGAGTATTAACAAAATTTTATGTGCTGTGTTTGCCATTCATGTTAGATTAGACCAGTGGTCCCCAAACTATGGCAATCCGGCCCGCGTCCCCATTTGGTCCGGCCCCCAGAACAATACCAGAGAGCATTTAGTTTATTTTTTCATATATGTGTATTTATATTTGATTATAAAGTTGGACTTTTGCAATAAAATATTCCTTAGTTATGAAGTATTTTCATTAACTATTATTAGTTAGTAACTATTTCATACATACATGCATATAACATGACATTCTGTTCCACCCTTCTG